AGGCCGGGGCGCACGCCCGCCTTTTGCAGTACGGGGGCCTGGGGGGGGGATCTCCGGGGGGTCGCGGGCGCAAGGGCCGTCGGGGGGTCGCGGGAGCAGAGCTTTCGGGTTCTTTTTGCTGACACTGAGGGTTTAGGGCTTGCGCTCACCAAGTCTTTCTGGGTCGCGCAAGGGCTTCCACGTGCGGAAGCTTTCTGGTTTGCATGCGCGAGGGTCTCTGGGTGGCGCAGAGGGTCTGGGGGTCGCACGGACGAATTCTGTGGGGCTTCCACGCACGGAAGCTTTCTGGTCTGCAAAGATTTTGGGGCTTGGACGCGTGACCTTCTTGGGGCTTACACAAGCGGGGGCCTTCCGGTTCGCGCGGGGGGTTTAGGACTCCCAAGCACAAAGGTTTTGCGGCTCTGCAAACCCCACCCCTGATATTTTTCTCCCCCTCCCCAGGCCCCGTCTGCCCCCCGAACCAGCACTACGAGCTCTGCGGCCCAGCCTGCCCGGCCACGTGCCGAGGCCAAGCGGACTTTCTCCCCTGTGTGCCTCGAGACGAGGGGCAGAGGAGCTGATGAGACTGAGCAGTGAGGAGCTGGGGGAGAGAGGGAGCGAAACACTTTGGAAAGGAGAGAGATCTTCTGCTCTGCAGAAAGAACATATGCTATTGGGTAGATGTGTATTAGCATGACAGAGAACCTATCACATGCCCTGAAAAGTTAATTAATACCCACAATAATAAGCATAAATGACCTGCAAATTCCAATAGTAGGTGTGGGTTTGCCTTTAGGTGAACATTTCAGTCATTTTTTGCATTTTGACTTCCAGCTTTGGGGGCATACAGCAGGCGCATCAGGTTCTCAAGCAGCCCAAGCACTTCAGCTAAATTTGTAGCCATATCTAGGATTACCGCTGTATTCAACGTCAGGAGGGGATTCTGGGCTCCACGAGGGATTTCTTGGCTGCACGAGGGGTTTCTGGGCTGCACCGTAAATTGTTTGGGGCTTCCATGCACAGAGGCTTTCTGGTTCGGAGAGATTTTGGGGCTGGCGTGCACGAAAGCTGGTTGGGCTTGCACGCACGAGAGCTTTGGGGGCTGCATGAGGGGATTCTGGGCTGCACGAGGGGTTTTTGGGCTGCACGAGGGGTTTTAGGCTGGTGTGCACGAATCATTTTGGGCTTGCAGAGAGATTTTGGGGCTCGCAGGCGTGAGCTGTTCGGGGCTCGCAAGCGCGGAAGCTTTCTGGTTTGCACGAAGAGCTTGGGGCTTGCACGCGTGAAGGTGGTTGGGCTTTGTGGGCTGCACGAGGGGTTTCTGGGCTGCACCCCTGAATCCTTTGGAGCTTCCACGCACAAAGGCTTTCTGGTTTGCGAGGATTTTGGGTCCTTACACACACAAAAGCTGTCTGGTTTGCACGAAGGGTTGGGGCTCACATGCGTGGAAGCTTTCTGGTTTGCACGCGCGAGGGTCTCTGGGTGGCGCAGAGGGTCTGGGGGTCGCACGGACGAATTCTGTGGGGCTTCCACGCACGGAAGCTTTCTGGTCTGCAAAGATTTTGGGGCTTGGACGCGTGACCTTCTTGGGGCTTACACAAGCGGGGGCCTTCCGGTTCGCGCGGGGGGTTTAGGACTCCCAAGCACAAAGGTTTTGCGGCTCTGCAAACCCCACCCCTGATATTTTTCTCCCCCTCCCCAGGCCCCGTCTGCCCCCCGAACCAGCACTACGAGCTCTGCGGCCCAGCCTGCCCGGCCACGTGCCGAGGCCAAGCGGACTTTCTCCCCTGTGTGCCTCGAGACGAGGGGCAGAGGAGCTGATGAGACTGAGCAGTGAGGAGCTGGGGGAGAGAGGGAGCGAAACACTTTGGAAAGGAGAGAGATCTTCTGCTCTGCAGAAAGAACATATGCTATTGGGTAGATGTGTATTAGCATGACAGAGAACCTATCACATGCCCTGAAAAGTTAATTAATACCCACAATAATAAGCATAAATGACCTGCAAATTCCAATAGTAGGTGTGGGTTTGCCTTTAGGTGAACATTTCAGTCATTTTTTGCATTTTGACTTCCAGCTTTGGGGGCATACAGCAGGCGCATCAGGTTCTCAAGCAGCCCAAGCACTTCAGCTAAATTTGTAGCCATATCTAGGATTACCGCTGTATTCAACGTCAGTTTATTTGCAAAGACTACGATGTTCAGTCCTATGATGTTTGCATAATTTTGCTTGATAATGTCTAACAAAGAAGCTACAGGCAGGAGCATGCCGTTTCGCGGTGCTCAGTAAGAGGGCAAACTGTGTTTTGGGGTGCAAAACCTGCTTTGGGGTGCACAGCAGGACGTGCAAGCCCTGCTTTGGGGTACAAACCTGATATTGGAGTGCACAGCAGGATGTGCAAGCCCTGCTTTGGGGTACAAACTCCAATTTGGGGTTCACAGCATGTTGTGTAAACCCTATTTTGGGGTGCAAACCCTGCTTTGGGGTGCACAGCAGGACACACAATCCCCACTTTGGGGTGCAAATCCTGATGTTGGGGTTCATACCCTGCTTCGGGCTGCACAGCAGGACGTGCAAACCCTGTTTTGGGGTGCAAACCCGATATTGGGGTGCACAGCAGGTAGTGCAAACCCTGCTTTTGGGTTCATATCCTGCTTTGGGGTTCAAGTTCTGCTTTGGCGTGCACAGCAGGACATACACACTCTGTTTTGGGGTGCAAACCTGACTTCGGGGTGCACAGCAGGACATGCAAACCCTGCTTTGGAGTACAGGCTCCGATGTGGAGTGCACGGCAGGTTGTGCAAGCCCTATTTTGGGGTGCAAACCCTGCTTTGGGGTTCAAGTTCTGCTTTGGCGTGCACAGCAGGACGCACACGCTCTGTTTTGGGGTGCAAATCCCGATGTTGGTGTGCATGGGAGGATACGAACACCCTGTTTTTGGGGCGCAAACCCCACTTTGGGGTTCATACCCTGCTTTGGGGTGCACAGCAGGACACACAAATCTTGTTTTGGGGTGCAAACCCTCTTTTGGGTTTCATACCTTGCTTCAGGGTGCACAGCAGGATCTGCAAGCCCTGTTTTGGGGTTCAAACCCAGTTTTGGGGTTCAGACCTGATGTTGGGGTGCACAGCAGAATGTGAACATCCCGTTTCGGGGTGCAAACCCCACTTTGGGGCTCCCTCCCTGCTTCGGGGTGCACAGCAGGATGTGCACACCCAGCTTTGGGCTCCCCACCCCCCCCTCTTCTCACCCCTCTTTTTCTCTCCCCGCTCCCCCACAGGTG